ACACCATTAATTTCCTACTTTATCTTACCTGAAAAATAAAGAACTCCGGATCAACTAAATGCAAAGAACACTGAATTACCACTACAACTAGAAAAGAGAGTCACAGAGCTGCTTGGAAGTACAGGTGGCAAGCCAGGACCTCAGATGACCAAGCTTTCACCTGCAGACACAGGCAGAGAAATCATGAGCTGCCGCCTAACAGATCTATTAGAGGGTCTGAGTGATGCTCAAGGTAAGAAATGCCCGTATACCACACATGCACCCAAAGAACAACCGTCCCCCGTCCCAAACTAATGCTGCACACAGCAGAAGCACTCTAGACTGAAGAGTACCACTCAACCAGTGCAGCGAGAAACATACACCACTGCTGTCCATGCATGCACTTTCAAGAGATCGGGCTCTCAGCTGCTCATATGTGTGTCAACACATGCCGTGGGCAGCACCAAGAAACGAGGTCAAGCAGAAAGAAGCACTGAGTCACATTGTGCGTACCAGTTGTACTCCGTGCTTAAGACCAAACTGCTCTTGAGCCCCACATGTGCACAATGAGAACTGATGCTACTGCAAACTTCCAAATGCCTGATCTTTGTTCTGTCTTTTCAAAACCATGACATATTTTTAGATAACAGTAGCAAACCACTCAAAGGCTGCAAACATAAAGCTGATATCCTGTATGCAGTAAGCTTAAATGTCAAGTTATGTATATAAATTTTTTCACATAGACATATAGCTTTTTAGCTTTTAACTAAACCCAGCCTTTAACCTACTAGTGTTGTGTTTTGCAGAGCTTTCGTTTCATAGAAAAGATAGAATCTCAGATAGTAAAGTGATGAAGGTTTGATTTGGTTCAAGGTGTAAAACCTCCAAGCAGAACATTCCCCTTTTCAGCATCTGCATCCTTTACCATTCCCTTGGCACCAGGCTGTGCAGAAAGACCCCTCGCTTGCAGCAGAAGCCATAAATTGCCGTTAGTAGCAATAAGAGCTGAACGTGAAGTGCACTGTAAATGTGGCAAGAGGACCAAACAATTGACAGAAGTGCCGTCAGGAAGTTTCTCATTTGCACCACCACTGCAGCAACACAAACTATACATCAAGTACGGAAGACCACGTAAGAGTCCCTGGGGGGGTATTTCAGTTCTGTAGCATTAGGAAACATCCTCAGCAAAATTAGCATGTACTATAAAGTATGCAAAAATGGCAGATGTCAAATCCAAGTGTGAAGGGCTGAGTGCACTACTAAAATTAATGGGAACAAAACTCCCCACTATTTTCAAAGCTAAAACTACCTCATCTAACCTAATAATTCATTGGCGACAAATAGTATTAAAAATGCTGTCTCTCTCAGCTCTGTTTCCTGCACAATTATGCCTTTTGGACCTGCTCACCCAAATCCCATTCTCATCTCCACATGTCAGAGAGGGCTCACAACGATTTACATCATCCAGAGTAAGTTATCACTCATGAACTACGTGGCAGAAATACCTCTCCTTCCAGATTTTTCCCTCTTTCTAACATTTTAGTAAAAAACTTTTAGCTTTAAAACTACAACTACTACACAAACAAGAAGTTTACACTTAGGGATTTTCTTAGCTGTAAAATAAAATGAGGAGACACATGCAATCTCAGACCTGCTGATCTAATTGAAGGGAAGATGACATCAGGCCCAGAGAGGCATGGACAACCCATTTGAGGGAACAGCTCCATTTAAAAGGAGAAACGAAACAAAACAAAAAGAAAGAGATAAAATGGAAAGGAAAAGCATGACAAGATAGCAAAGCATAACAAACATCAAGGTTCTTTCCGAGTATAAGGGATAAAGATGTCAGACACTGGTTATAATTTGAAGACCATAACATTTGTGACCCTTTAATGCGAGTGCAGATTAGGAACAAAGCAGGTGAAAATGACTACTGTGAATTTGGACAGGTGTGGAAAGATGGTCCTTTGTTTAAACCTTTTCAGAAGGGAGGACTCTTCTAGCAAGAAAAAGAAAAAAATTCAAAACTCCTGAATGACCTCCTGAAGAGACTTGGCAAGCTGATTGCTTTTTATTTCCTCAGGTGCACAGGACTGGCAAAGAGAACAAGAAGGTGTGGTCCTCCTTCCAAGGACTTGGAAGATACGTAACATCTACTGCCTACAAATGCTGGAACGCAAGCTGCAGAAGTATTAGTAAGCAGCAGAGTGTAAATTCATAGACAAGTATCCAGAGACACACAATAACAAAGGTATTAGCAGTAAAAGCACCGGCTCATCTGTCAAGCAGATCCCTGTGCTGTCTAGAGGACGAGCTGCACACACACGCACTCTGTACAACTCCAAGGAAGATAAATTGTGTTCCTGGTGGTAGGGCTCAACAAAAGGCTGTGTGTTTGAACAAGGCCAGGAAGCAATGAATTGTTTGCCTCATTTGGCTATGACAACCCTATTTCTCAGACCCTCATATCGGAACGAAGCACACGCACTGTTTTCTATAGTGGGATCCAAACGTCCGAGGTTCTGGGGGAAAAAGACTTTTCCTGACACTACTTACCTCGTGACATAGCCTGAACAGACCACAGGAAGTATGACCCTCCCCGTTATGCAGATGAAGAATCAAGCACAAGTGTATCAGGCTGAAGGGTGCATGGAGACCCATAAAACAAGGAGTTGTCTTGAGGTCACCCACATCACCTCTGCTTTCCTACCATTAACCACGGTATGAGACCTCGGCACTCCAAAGGTTCACACAAAGCATTTGAGGGGAAAAGATGAAAGCAGCTGAATATTAGGTTCCCAGTGCTGAGGAAGCTGCTGTCAGATTTATGTCGAAGCAGATTAACAGCAATGCCACGTGCTGAGGAGCAAAACAGCTTCACTGTACGCCCACTCCCCCTGCAAAACTTCCAGCAACTGACAGCTAGCACCTGACAGCTCTGTGAAATCTGCACTGCCTCCACACAAATGGAAGACTCCATCTGAACATATCAATTGCAATAACAAAGCCTGCACCCAACTCAGCCTGCCTGGACTGCCACTAGATTGAAACACTACTTTATAATGCCAGTCTTCATAATAAAGTAGATCCTGCTGCAAACACATGATTTTCACAGGATATTAGAGTGGGACTAAGGGGTCTATATTCAGCTCCCTACTCCACTACACAGTCCTTCGGGTGACGCTGGACAAGTAACTTGATCTTCATAAGAAAGAGGACTAATAATTTTGCTAAGGTAATGGGAATTTGAGTTTGCTGAACACCTAAAGGATGACATTTACAATCCCAGCCCTGAAATCCCAGGGATTTTTAAGTTCTGTCATGTTGAAAAACTGAAAGCAAATAAAACTAAACCACTTGAAAAATAAACCCATCAAACCCTGGCCTTTAGGCATTCTGCTAACAAGCTTAAAGGATTTGTCTAGAGGCAGCCCTCCTATATTAGCAGCCAATCTATTGACAGGCATCTGGTGTTAGGTTTATCCTGCTAATATAGACAACAGGAACATGGAGAGGTATGCATACAGCAAAGACTACCAGTATCTTCATAACAAGTACTGGTGTCTTGTTCTAATATAGGATGCACTGAGAGACCAAAGAACATGGCCAGAAAAGTTTCAGTATCACAAACATCAGCCCCAGACTGGTTGGGGCACTTCTACAGCATGTTACTGGCTTAGCTGTTAACAGACATGGCAAACTTGGGTAAGACTGGAAAGAGAAAAAGAGGGGGCGTGGGAAACTGGCAGGGGGGGAGACAACTGTCCAAAAGAAAGTGTTTATTTTGATAATTAGAGAGCATCAAAGTGAATGGCACCTGCTCTCAGCTGAGGAACTGCTGCTACCTTCAGGGTTCATTATTCTCATTTAGGACCAAACAAAGAATCTCTCCCCCAGTTTTAACGATGGAAATAGAAGACTGGAGACTGTTTTGGATAAAACAAATCTTATGGCACTTATTTCCCAGGAATCCAGAAGAGGCAACATTGTCAAGAGGAACGCAATGCATTACGTCAGGCTCTCCCTTCCATTCATGGGAATGATTTCAGCTACCTGAAATGGCTATAGCTTTCCATCTTCATTCTTGATCCCTAACAGACCAAAAAACCCGGTGTCCTTGTTTAGCAGGGAAGAGAGACAATGAAGAAAGCAGCAGACTAAAAGTGGCAAATGCTACGTCTTGGGGATCCCTAGAGTAGACTGAAATGCCCAACAGATTACAAAACAAAGCCTTGCAAGAGTCTGTAAGCAAGCATCTCAGGTAAGTGCCCAAATGCTCAGTGCTGCCCTTGAAATGCAAACAGCAAACCTTTCAGAAGGGTAATTTAACTCACGCCTTGAAGAGCAGTGACTAAGTCCAGAATATCACAAATGTCTTTAAACTCTACCTAAGGAAGCTGCCATGGCCACATTAGCTTTCTGCATCACCAGCAAATGAACTTCAATTACAGCCCACAAGCCCCTTGGGGAAATCACAAAATTTGGAGAGAGAACTCCAAACGTTTCAATCACAGGGTGAACAGGGAAGAACAATACAGAAGATTTTTTCCAAAGACTTCTAGCTTTTAACCAAATCAAAAAGCTCGGTATGATTTAGAATTGTTCTAGATACATACATCCTACAATACTGATTGGGATCAGATCTAGAGAGATACTAAACTGAATGGCATTTGGTGATAAGGCAAAGACGGTGTCTGGCCACAAACTGACCCTGCCTACCTGAATGTCACAATTTTTTCCTTCCTTGTAAAAGAGTAATTACAGAAGGTTGGGTTTTGTTGGTTTTCTTCCCTCTAATGACTGAACTGCCTCTCTTAAAATACTGAGATGTCGATTCTTATTTTTCATGGAAAATTGAAGAAAGGACAAAAAGATAATGAGAGCTAAACCTCTGTTCCTGCAATGTACCCGTAAGGTTGCCACAAAGACATGCTAGCCAAAACCGCAGTCCCCCACCTCCCACTGGCCTGAGGTTGCAGCCCTTAGCAGCTGGAGAAGTAAAAGTGCTGAGTATTACTCACTGCCATCACGAGCTCAAAAGGATATTTGTAGACTCGAACTGGGGACTGGTATTTCTGCACCATTTTTACTACACACCTGTAATAGAAAGAAATTGGAAAATTTTAGATCCCTTACACCAGACACCACAACACATTCTAGCAATTTTCACAAACAGACCTTACTAGAAGCCTTAACTCTTTCTCACAAATAGAGAGGAGGAGACATATTAGGTAGAATATCTTGCCCAGCATCGCTTAGCAAGCCAGTGGCAGAGACAGAACAAAAGGCAGGTCTCTGCAGTCTCAGTCCAGTGCTGTGTCCAGCACGCGGTAGCGTCCTTTGCTGCTTCCCAACACTACTACAGTAAATTCAACTTAGAGCTCCAACAAAACTCACGACAATTAAAGCACAAAACAGAGATGTAAAGCCAGAATCAATTGTGCTCTGGAGAAGGAGTCTGTCTTAGGAACCTTGCAAAGCTTAAAAGGCGACTCTTCCCCCCATTCCCCTTTTCTGCATTACATTTGTAATCATTATGCAAAGTCCCCCTTGTTGAAAGCTTCCATGGCTTCCCGTATCTTGGTGTTTTAAATGCTTTTGTGCACAAAGTAGCAGTCAGTTGTTTTAACCCACTAAAAGAAAGGAAAAGGAAACAGCATGCTTAAAGAACACGCCCGACGCTAAGCTAGCAATCACATCCCACTGACTGGATGCCCACTGCTTCCAGCTGAACTAAGGGAATAACCGCATGCAGTGGAAACAATTCAGTTCTCAGCATTTCATTTCTCCTAGCCACCTCTCACTGTTCTCATCAGGATTCCTCCCTCAGACTCTCTTGCTGGGGTTTTAACCCTCAAATATGCATCAATAACCAGCATCTCAAGGAAGTACAGAAACCATTAAAAAAAAGGTTATTAGGCTGCTTTCTGCAATTCCTTTAGGTTCCTTTATATCACTCCCATTAATACCATCTACGAACGTCAGAAACACAAAAGACTGGACGGCTGGTTTGAGACACTACGCTGATTCCACCCCACTCAAATTCCACTGCTGAGCAGACACAGCCCTCGGCAACATGACGCAGTGTAGCACTGAACTCAACAGTCAGAGCATTAAGACAACTTATCCCTGACATTTTAAGCCCCCAAATGGAGGTGAAACTTGAATTAAAAGGCAAACGGCAATAGATTCTCCCTCAGAAAGACTGCTGCAAAATGCCATTACACAGTAAAATCTAAGCAAAGGAGAGGGGAAAAAGACTTTTAAAAGTTTGAGTACCTGAGAACAAGGAATGTTTGTAGAAGGATCTCACAATCGGGCAGTTACTCTGCAGACGATCACGTTACCCAAGGAGCAACGTTCAGGACTTGCTGGGTCTCTAGGAGTCTTACTGGTACTAAAAGCCAGTCCACGCAGAACAAGTAAATGCAGAGAGAATGCATCAGCAGAGCATCCAACTCAAACTGAAGTGAGCGGAGCAGGGGCAAGCAAACACCCAGGAAGCCTGGGCTGCTATCACGTATCAGATACCCGAGCCAAGAGGCACGGGGCACCTTGTAACGCAACACTGTAATATGATTATGCAAGCGCGATACCTAGGCTGTGCGGGAACCTTCCCAGTAAGTGCAAATATAGCAAGAGAAGCCTCGTCAAACGTATTTAGCTGTGATCTTGCTCCCTGTTCTAACCTCGCCTGCTAAACCAGGAATTCCTGCACCTCTTAGGAGGGGATCAGGGACCTCCACAGGAGGAAGTTTCAGGACAGACCAGTCAGTCTAGAATCACCCACAGCCCAGAAACAAAGTCACCAGCAATGGAACAACGGGATGGCACAAGCTGTAGTTGAACAGCCTTAATCATGCTGCTTGGATAGATCTGTTGCTCCCAAGCAGCTGCGATACCCGATTGCCACGGGCTTACTGTCCCATACTTCTCTAGTTGAGTGAAGTTTGAGAAAAAGAGCCAGTGACTGTTATACCCATGGGAAGCTGAGGAAGAAAGACAGCTGATAACTCACACCTGCCCTAGAAAGCTTTCATACCTTAGGGAAAGTGCAGTGGCAGACCTTCTACGCCCTCTCCTCAAAACAGAGCTGCGAGGCAGTCATTCTGCTTCTCAAAGCAAGAGGAACTCCAGCTATAACTCCTGGGAAAAAAAAAAAATCAGAAAAGGCAGTGAAAGGGAACTACTCAGTGCACACAGATACAGATGGATGATTAGCACTGATAATGATGTAAGGTTTTCAGGTGTTACCGCTGGGCAGCTGGGCCATATCAGCTAAAGACGTGCATCCTCATAGGGCTTCAGAACCAAAAAGACAGACATGTTTTTAAAGTCATCTCATGTATGCCACTCAAATTATAAACAGATATGTTCAACCACCTTGTAAAGAAAACCAGAAAGAAACTACACAACTACAGAATATGTCTGCTCCTTAAACATCCATCATACCACTCCAACCTCTACAGTAGCCCAGGCTACCTACTCTACTTCATATTTGCACCTAGCTAAAAGCACATATTAGGAAACACAGCTCAGCTGAAGAGCAGTGACTCACTAAACTGCAGCTCCATCACTTAGAAACCCCAATCCACAGCTAGAGGCAGACCTGTAGCCATTCATTGGGTAACACCAGGGAAGAGCATGAGTTCAGGCTGACCAAGCCCAGTGCCTGTAAAAATTCAGAGAGGCTGGAGCTGTCAATGCATTGAAGCAACATACTTAGTTAATCACTTTAACCATCCCAATAAGATATTAAAAGTGTTTCAATTATTGCGCACCTGAACACAGAAAACAGCAGCAGCTACCACATTTCACAAAGCATCCCGTGACACACTGACAGCAGTGCCAACAGCACGGAGACTCAGCAGCCTGCAGCTCCTGCAGAGTCCAGCTGGCCTGCGTACCCCCTTTTGCTACAACCCATACAGCAATTCACAGACCAACCAAACCCTAGAAGGCAGTTAATTATAAGCTTGAGATACACCAGCTGGCACTGTACCAGGGGAAGGAGGGCATGGAAGGGGGCATGAAATGGAAGGATATGAACCCCTGAGGGCACATGCATTTCCCTGCTGTAACTTTGGTAGCATTTCAGAGAAATGTCGAATTCTTAACAAGAATTGGGGTACACACAGCATGCAAAGCTACCTCCACATATTAGCCAAGCTTGAAGACTGTGAGGGCTCCCATGAGGAATACACATCACTACACACACGGCAGAGGGAAGAGAGGCAGCAATATTAACTATATGTTTCCATTTTATTTAGAATCATCCACCACTATTTACCTGAGGGATTTTCCATAGGCTTAACTTTTATTCTATTTGTAGAAGCGGCTTACTTGACAGAGTACAGCCAGATGGTTGGAAATCAGAAGTTTGGTTTATATATTAAATATACATAAAGCCCTGAATCAAAGCCCCCAACCCCTGCTTCTCATCCAGGCTAGTATGAACTCATTCAGCTCTTTCCACATTAAAGCTGCCTGTTGGATGGTGAAACTCAGCAGCAAGTGGCTTTATTAACTTCCCCCACCTGTGGTGGCTTCTTTTCAGCTGGAAGAGAACAACTGAGCAATTTATTTTTGTTTTGTTTTTGACAAAGAACTGCTGAAAATAGCAGAGTTCCAGACTTCCTCAAATACTATTACAACATGTGAAAGCCAGCTGCGGCACCCAGCTAAGTTGACATTTCCAGTTAGAAAAAGGTGGACTCTGCAGGGCTGTAGTCTTTCCTCCCCTCTTCTAGAGCAAGGTGGAGAGAAAGGTGTGTGACATTTCCTCTGCCTTAAATGCCTCTCACTTAGGTAGGTGTTGACACAGTAGCTGATGCTTTACACACATAATACAATGGTACCAAGCTGTAGAATGTTTATTAGAGCTCTTTCAGATAAGAATTTGTTCTCAAGTCTTTCGTAGCTTGATGTAAGGAAGCCTCAAAGTGCAATGCTGCAAGCGTAAGCCTTTACTATCTTTCAGAAGCAGACATCTTCCCAGGCAGGACTTCATCTTCCTGTTCGATTTTACCCCCGAGAAACACAATTGGTGGAGGGATGAAGCAGCACGGAGGGCTGCAAGGCAGCACACTGCTGTGGAGCCCGGCCACCACTCTGTACACCTTGCAGAGATGCCCGGAGTCCTGTTGCGGATTATAATCAAAGACAAGCAATGCAAACATTCAAACAACATTCACACATTCTTTACAACACAATAAGGAACAGTCTCTTTGGCTGAGAGGGGAAGAAAAAGGAACAGCGTACAGCATTCTGCTCTCAAAGCCTTGTAAAGCTAGCAGTTTCTTCCATGTATGTATCCAAATAAGCTTCATGCCTAATACTTCCACACCTTCATCTCGTAAGTTAATTTTCTCGCTAAAGAACCACCACTGACCTTTTACACACAGCCACATACTAAATCCCTGGTATTTGCCAGCCTGCAGCAGTAGATAAGGTTTCTTGAAGGAAAGCTCCTCATTCCTCACCTTCCTACTCCATAGGAAGTCATACTATGCCATTTTATCCATCAACACTACAGCCAATAATTCAATACTCAAGTTCAATTTAAGAATGGAAACATGCTTCAGCTTAACATGTAAAACCAGAGTAGGTCCAGTCACCAGGTCCCTTGACAGCGCAACAAAGCACCAGCACAAAACTGTTTTGGCTTGCCCTGAGTAAAGTTCGCAGTCATATTTTCTCTGAACACAGGTATGCTGTACGCAGGCATGCTCATTAGCCCAATCAGACAAGCGGTGCCATCAGCACAACCCCCTTCCCGCTGTCCGCAACCCGATTCTACTACTTGGAGGAGTTAAGCCAAGTGACCCAGAGAACTGCACATGCTTGGTTTAACCCTGCCCTAAAGCCAGTGGGGTTTTATATAGAAGCTGACCCAAATACATCAATACATTTAGTAGCAACTTACCAGGGTCAGCCTTTGGGTTTACAAATACTTCAGGGCCAGGTTTTTTTTTGTTTGTTTGTTTGTTTTTTTAAACTTTAAGACCCAGAGAGAGCTCAGCAGACAGAGTGCCACGCTCTTAGGAGCGACACCAGCAGCAAGGCTGATGCTCGCACGCAAAAGGAGCTGGGGTCCCACCCGTGGCTCCCTCCACGTTGCGGGTGAGCCCACCCTGAAGCAAGCCACCGCCAGCCCTCAGCGAGCGGAGAGCCAACGTTTATCCAACTTCCTCTAAGTAGGACAGAAATCAGCAAACTTTAAAGCCGGTTTGGTTTTTTTTTAAGTAAATCTGAAGCGATCCTCAGCCAGCCTGCCAGCTTGAGCCTGCCGCTCGCCGCCACTCGGGTTTCCACCCGCTCCCTCCCTAATCCCCGCGGGATTATGACTGAAATTTCCCTCTCGGCTTCCCCTAGCTGCACGGATAACGGCTCCCGGCGCCCCCACACACCCACTCACCGGGCCCCCCGCGCC